GGGAGACAAATGAAAAGAAGTGGGAGACAAATGAAAGGAAGTGGGAGACAAGCCAGCCGGGAACCCGACCACAATCACCCAGCCTGGGAGACAAATGAAAAGAACTGGGAGACAAATGAAAGGAAGTGGGAGACAAGTCGGCCGGGAACCCGACCAGACCATCCAGCACCAAGGCGACCATTCTTTAAAGCATTGAGAACCCCTAACAGTAAACTGTTTGGGGAAAAAGCATTCTGAGACCTCCCTTGCTGAGACAACCTCCAATAAATCTCAGTTGGGAGATAGATGCAAACCATCTGTACCCATAGGATCTGCTTCGGGTCGCTTCGGTTCTACTGGGATGCTGACCCTCCTCGCAGATCGCGGAGCTGGCAGAGCTGAGCCTCCATCGCCATGGAGTTGAGGCCTCCGGAGCTGAGCCAAGATCTGGCGGGTCCAGAGCTACTTCAATTTGAGCTCTTCGTGCGCTCGTGCGACATCCAGCGCTTACGGTTTTCCGATGGTCCTCGTTTCGTGAAGAAAAAGAACTTGCCATTTCCCAGCGAGAGGAAAGCAGTCTCACAGCTGCAAGGACAGGTGTCTTCGGGTCTGGACAGGCCTAGCTGGTCTGTAGAGGCCAAATCGTGGCAGAACAAAAGGAGTTGCTACCTCAGTTCGGGACCACATTAAAAGACCTTAAGTGACCTTGCTTTCTGGGAAACTCATGATCTTTGAGCGGGCCCAAAACCTCACAAAGACGGAAGAGGATGCAGAAACGTAACTTTTGCACTGCTATTTCACTTTTCTCTCCACTAGTGTCCAGCTCACGTACTTTCAGGTGGATAAGCAGGCCATCTGCCATTTGCAAAATAATGTGATGCTTCAAGGAGCTGATGCCGCCACAGGCCACAAGGCCCGGGAAAAAACGGCGTGCAGCACGGCCTGGCAGGGCAGAAAACATGTTCCTAGATTCCTCGTAGTAAGAATGCTACTAGTAGTGATGCCAGGAGCCGCATTCGCAGCATCCTTGCTCCTAGTAGTAAGTCCAGGAGCCCCCAGTAGCTTCTTGTTCCTAGTAGTCCATGTTTTGCCATTGACAAACCGTCTATCCCAGCGAATGACGGACTGTACATCATGGTACCAGCTCCATGGTACCAGCTCCATGGCCTCTTTCCGCACGCTTGGAAGGAGGCGTTGCCATGGCACACCGCGTTGCCATGGCACACCAGCTTTGTTTCACATCTAGGAGAAGCAACGATCAATGGTTAGGTCCTTCTGATTCAATGGTTAGGTCCTGTGTGCTGCGAACTGTTTCAGGCGAATAACAGTTTGTCGTTGGTCACGAGTCCTTCCAGTTGCAGGTTCAAGTCAACTTGCAGATCCCTAAACCCTCCAGAAACAGCAGCAGCAGCGATGGCATCCTCAACAAACGATAGCTTTGCACAGAAATTGATCCATTCGAGTCGTTGAAGAATGTCCGAAGTTCACAAAAGCACCGCAACCAGGCCTGCAACCAAGCAACAGTCTCTTCAAGCTGGGCAATGGTTTTGCCTGCATCTCAGAAACCCCCTCGAAACCCCCCTTGCCTCTGTGCTTTGAATAGCTGCCTACTACTTAAAGCCAGCCAGAACTGTAGTCGTCTTGGGAAAAAAAATGCCAGAAACATGCTACCTCAAACAGGAATCCTCCTCGCTGTCTTGTGTCTGCTGTGTTGTTTCAAGTCAATGTTGCACGCACTACTCAAACTACATACCCCTGAGGCTGGCGAGGCCAGAACTTCTCCAGTTCTGCTTCTCACGTGACGCGCGTGACACGCCGGCGGCCCGTCCTGTTGACACTTGCTCCTCACATGTGCAGCACATGCCTACACTCCCCCTAGGCATCCACCGCTGAAGTCTGAAAAGATCAGAAAGAAAAACACACATTGACTAGTAAGCTATTAGGAACAAGTGCATCGCTACTAGTAACAAGTGCCTTACTAGTAGTAACAAGAAGCTATTAATAACAAGAAGCTATTAGCAACACACGCCCACAACAGAAGACGCCGCTTGAAGACGAGAAGTTACGCCGCTCCGCAGCCCGCTGCGCCAGGAGCCGATGGATCTCTGCCTGCGCCGAGATCGGGTGACCCACTTTTGCTGTTGAGGAACAGCATCCCCAGAGATGGCCACTTAGATTCTCAATGGGTTCTTTGCCGCTTTCGCACCATCAATAGCTGGTCCTTCGATTCTGTATCCAAATATTCCAGGACTGATGGCAAAGCCCATCTAGCTATATCATGCAAAGCGTTTCAGTACCCAATCTGTGGGCCCATGATTACGCGGGCACTGTGTGTGTGCAGTTCCTCCACCCTAATAGCAGCTTGCTACTAGTAGCGATGGCCTCCAACCTACTTGCGATAACCTCCACCTAATAGCATCCTTGCTACATGTGTTTTTTTTTGTTTTGTTTTAGTCTTTGTTTCGCTCAAAATCACTGAGCTTTCCTCGCTCAACAACGCGTTTGAAAGCACGCGTTTCGCCTGCAGAAAGCGGCATTCACTTTGTGCTGCTAGCGCGTCAGCTTCAAACTCCAGGCTCCACGCAGCTTTTGCCTCGAAAAAAAGAGCTCACTATAGTGATCCCCGAATAGATAGTGGCTCGGTTCGGTTTCCAATACTACTTTTTGGTGGGGATCGACTTGTCTATCTATTTGGGGGGTCTACAATGGTCTCTATACGTTGTCTGTATTCTGAAGCTGCCCAACCATCACTCTGTTGCTGTGTCCGACATGGTGGGATATGGCAAGTTGCAGGATAACTCTTTCTAAGTACTACTAGCGGCGATCAACTTCATGCAGCTCCCGATTGCTGTCAAGTACAACGGCCCGTGTTTGTGCCCAAAGTGGATCACGTGGGGGCCCTGCTGCTTTGGATGAAACGCAAACAGAGTCCATGGCTTCAAAGAAACGGCAAATCTACTTCTTGACCACCTTGGCATCAAAGTTGGCAAACAGTTTGGCACGCCGCCATTCAACCGCAGCTTCGTCCTTCTCGCAGGTGAAAGCATGTGAAAGACGCAAGAGACAGGTACACTATGTGCAGTCTTGAGAGGCACTGTTTCAAGCCAAGCAGTTCAAAACCTCTGCACACCCACTCCTCGACTTGAGCATTGAGGACGCCATGTGGACCTCGGACGCCGAACATCCTTTTCGAGCGGCTCGAACGTGGCTCGTCTGCTCATCCCGCCCAGAGCCTCCATCTGCAGTCGCATTCAGGCGCAAAGGAAGCGAGGAGGACGGCAAGCGGCGGCCTGGAAACACCCAACACCGGCGCCTCTCCGCGAGCAGGGCGCGCGCGCGCGAGTCAATGGCGCGCACGCTGAGTCGAGCGTGTCTGCGAAGGACACCAACTGCTGAGGTTGCCAACCTGCTGAGGGACCCAGGATGTTGGACACCTTGGAGAGACGACTTCACACTAGCCATTGGTCTCATCTCGTCCTCTGAAAGTGAAGATCGTTTGAAGCAAAAAAAATGGTTCAACATACGCCAGGAGCCCCTAGTAGCGTTCTTGCTCCTAGTAGCGATGCCCTTTGCTCCAAGTAGCTTCTTGATACGTTCGTAGCTTCTTGTTGCTAGTAGCGATGGCCTCCAACCTAATAGCAATGGCCTCCACCCAAATAGCTTCTCAGTAGCAATGCACACCATGAGGTGGTTTAGTCTAAACTGCACATCTGCTTTTGGTCCTCTTTTCAGCCCATCTTCTTAGGTTTGTTTTGGAGCAAAGGCGGGCACCACGAGCCTCTTGCTTTGATCCGGCGATTTACGGACGTCCATGCGGTCACCTGCAAACAGAACCAAAAAAGGACAGGCTGTGTACAGAACAGTTCGACACTTCTCTCATGCCATCCTGCCAAGCATACCTAGCATTCTTATCCCCTCCTGGTGTAAAGCGGGTGCGCGCCGCAGGTTCCTGCAGGATCCAAAAAGAAGCTGGCAGAACTCCTGCAGAATCATCGAACGAAGCTGCATAACTCCTCATACACCATGAGTGAGAAAAGGGGCTGCACTTGCTTTGAGTGCACCCAATCCGCCGGATCGTTTAACAAGTAGAAGTTGTGTTTGCAACCTAAACATCCTTGCGAATCCGCTCACGGAATGATGAAGCCAACCAAACATCTTTCCAAGAAAGCATGAATGGCCAAGGATCTGCTGTGTGTTCCTGCGAGCCAATGCTCCTCATGTTGGACCCGAATATGGATTGAATCGAATTTCGAGTGCAGCTCCTCCTCTCCGCAAGATGCTGAGAAGCAACTCGTACTCTGACCCACCCACAATGCGTTGCAAGCTGCCGTTTCTCGCTTGATTTCTCATCACTGCGCTGTTAATGGTACAGTAGGTCTGTGCATTCTATGCTTCAATGTCTCTTCCCACAAATGATTTGTTTTTGTGTGTGTGTTCCTGAAATGAGAGGTTGAAGGCAAACATACACCCATGGAATCCAACAACACAAAGCTTTGTCACGTGGTCTGGGTGGCCTTTTGACAAGCGCAGCTATTCTTGCAAGTGGACCAGCTGGACCAATTCACTCACAGGGCATGATGGCATATCAAGGTTAACCTTCAGTCCCGTTGTGGTGAGGTGCCATCAAAAGAAACAGGTCTTCTTCTGCAAGCCCAAATGATCTGCAAACTCACAAATATTCCAGTGCTTTACAAACGGATGCGTTTTATGCCATACCAGCCTATCAGGTTTCATTGTTTTCGGACAGCCGTCACTTTTTCAACTAGTGTTGACAGAAATCCAATTGACTCGGCCGAAGTTCATTGACTTGGCCTCCAAAAGTCTGCTCGAGGGTGCGATTTCATCGCAATCGACCAGACCAGGATTGAGGTCTTCAATGACTTCGTCCAACAGATATCTTCTCCACAGCGAAGCCACCAGAAACCGGGTTAGATCTTTAAACCTCGGACCTGAAGACCGCCCAGGGAGGTCGCATCATATTTGGACAGCTGTGAGCTGCATCGTTGTGCTCAGCCCGATAGCGTCGGAAGCATGAACCTTGCTCTTGAACAGCGTGGCCTGCACTAATCGCTGGGTCCAAATGCGCTTCGTCGGCTTCGATGCAAAATCGGGAGTGGATGCTTCTACACTGGACACGTGCGAAACGTCGATGCGCGTGTCGCTCGTGCTTGCAGTTGACCTGACATCTGTGAATCAACAAAAAACACATCAGTGCTGTTGAGCTGCTGTAAGCGTAGTTCACTTCGGTATCCACGGGTTTGCCCCACCAGTAGACCGTCAGCAGAAAGTCATCATCAGAGGTGGTGTCCATTTCGTGCACCAAGCCGCCTGATTACTGTCAGCCCAGCAAAAGCTATGGGGGCTCTGTGTGTGTGTGCGTTGTTCCAATCATCCAAAGCCCGAAGATTGAAAAAAGCTGGTTGAAAAACACTCACGTTGTCTCAACTATTTTCAAAGCCGACTTCGTTCACGAAACGTCCTGGATGATTGTGAAGCTGCCATGGCCCTTGAGGCTTTGTCATGCGAATCTCCGACCAAGGCCTTGGACCGTTCAGGAAAAAAGCTACTACGAAGAAAGGGCATCGCTACTAGGAGCAAGGACGCTCCTAGTAGCTCAAACAAGAAGCTACTAGGAAAAAAGGTGTTCATTTCTTGTCAAAAAGGGCCGCTGGCGAGAAGACAAACCAGCCAGCAGCTTTATCATCACTTCAGTTCCTTCTCATCATGGAACCTCAAAGGGTCTTCTCACCACTTCGACCCCCGGTCAAAAAGGCCAAAAAAAGACAACGAACATTCCCCGACATGTAAAAACCCAATCAAAAACGGTCACCCCCCGGAAAAAACACTTCACGTGCTCAGCCTCTGACTCCATCACTAGACATGGAAAAAAAAACACCCCGCCCTCACTCGCTCGTCGAAGAGGTCTCGGGTCCCCGGACCACTCGTTGGGCGCCTTGGTGAAGTTCTGCGGCCAAGTCCTCCACCAGCCAGGCCCACGGATCTGCCAATACGCTTCCTGCGAGTCCGCTGCGTGGCCAGTCCGACCGGGCACGGCCAGGGGGGGTGGCAAGGGTTACGACTCCAGACCCCCGCAGGGTACGACTCCTGAGAACCAGAAAACGAGAAACGAAGGATGGTGGACATGAGATCCCCTGTGCATGGGGCGAAAACACATGCTTGGCGCGGTCGACTACGAAGCGGTATCTGCCCGTCTCCTTGAATTCATGAGGCGCCCCCACCAAGAACCCAAAGCAGCTGCTGAAAGTCTGTCATGTCTGTCCTGGTTGTCGTGCACATGAGCTGGATAACAAACGCCATGATTCAAAGCAGCGATTCCCAGAACAGCATAGGAATCGTTGGTGTCCTTAGTCTTTGGCTTCAAACCAAGTTAAACCCAAGGACCAACTGCAAGCGACCTGATGGCAAGGCTGTCCTCAAGGATTTGGACTGCTGTAATTTGATTTGTGACTTTACGCCCGAATCTTGTTTCAGACAAAGAGCACAAATCAAAGCATTGAAGTAGCCCGCGTTCCGCATCACGCATTCCTTCGGCTTCGGGAAGAGTCTCGCGGTTGTACTTGACTCTGACAAGGACCAACTTGAAACACAAGAGTGGCGATGGCATACAGGTCACCTGGGAACAAGAAGCTACTAGGGGCTCCTGGGATCGCTACTAGGAGCAAGGACGCTACTAGGGGCTCCTGGCCTTACTACTAGGAGCAAGTAGCTACAAAGAGCTTTTTTGCGCGCACTGGTCTTCTCCTCCCAAAAGGCACGTGCACCCACGGGTCGTCCCGTAAGAGCATCTTCATACTCAGGAGGCGCTGGCATACCGCACCACTTTCCATACAATGCTTCGCTGTCATTGTTGGAGTGGAGATGAAACTTGGCGAGGGTCTTCAGGGGAAGGCCTGACCAATTCTCAACCGATCCTACAACCCTTTTGAGATGTTGGGTCCAAAGTTAGTCTCAGATTCTGCACAATCATGTTGGATATCAAGAGGTCTGACCGTCACCCCTTCTCTTTCAATCCATGTGCCAAGCATGGCCACGGCCAGGCATGGCCACGGCCTGCAAACTGAGAGAGCCCATCAATGACGCGCTCGCTGGGGATGTAAGCTGCATCTCCAAAGTTGTTGAAGCCCTCAGAGCCACACTGCCAGTGATCGCTAAAGGGCCTGGACGGATGCTGTGGGATGCTCCACAAGCGGAGAAGGAACACCGCGAGTCATTGGACTGAGGACTGAGAACTGAAGTCTTCTTATACTAACACTCGTTGAAGATGTCTAGAAGGGAGATAAATATCCAACCGTGAAGTGGCCCTAAGAATAGCCCTGCCTGTCACTGGCTCGATACTCATCCAAGGTCAAACAGGTTCCCTTCATTGCTTTTCTCATCTCTTTGGCCACATTCAACTCGTTGTCCTGAAAGACCAGGTTCTGAATCTGAGGAACGAGAGCAGCCATCACCTGGGCCGCAGGCCGAACAAAAACGTGTCCGAACCCACCAAGTGGGAAAGACCAGACGTGTCCGACACGGAAAAAAAAGGACCGACCAATGTGCAGATGCACCACTTGGACATACACACTGCCCACTGCCCAGCCTCTTTCCATGCATCATCACTGCGCATGAGCCCTGAAAGAACCAACCAGTTGCACTAGGAGCGGATGCAAAAAATGGAAACTATTGTGAAGTCATTTGTACACATCTTTCCTTATGGTTTACTTGTTGTAAACCTCTTCTCCCAATGTTGAGAGACTCTCTCAGACACATCGGATGGCCTCGCCGTTGTAGGGCGTCCAGCGCGCAAGGTCCACCAGATTGACATTCATCGTCACCCAGGGTCCAGCTGGGTGTCTCAGCCTCTGAGCTAGCACTTTCAACCCGAAGAATAGAAAACAAACACCAATTTTGCAACTAGGGGCTCCTGGCCTTACTACTAGGAGCAAGGACACTACTAGGAACAAGTGCATCGCTTCTAGTAACAAGTGCCTTACTAGTAACAAGAAGCAACTTCCCTCTCCTCAGACTGGGACGAACGATTTCGCCGACGGAACGATTTCGCTCATAGGCCCTTTGTGGACTCGAACATCGTCAGTCCTCCGCAACAGCTGGAACAAGCAGCCCAAGGAAAACCACAACGGGACCACGCGCCATGGCAGCGGCAGAAGTAGCTGGAAGAGTCGATGGTAGAGTCGGATCTGGATGATGCTCGTGGTTTTGCTCTGGAGGAAGCAAATGAGTGTAAAATAGTGTAAATGTGATTCATAACCTGAGAGCAACTCTGCGAGATACATGTTCCTGAAGAAGAGGAAAAAAGATGTGATTTTGTGCCGACAAGCTCGCGACTGCGACCGCCGTGCTGGCTCGTGCAACTTGGGTCCCGCCTTTTTTGTTTCGCAGAGGTCTGCAGGTCTCGCGAGATCGGCCCTTGACCATGTGTCAGGTGTCGGCTACGAAGGCTACTCCAAAGCATCGCAGCAATCGCTGTCAGTATGGAGGCTCTGCATCTTCGGCTTATCGTTTGAAGCAGTTCTTCCAAGTTGGTGGTGAGGTTGAGGGGTTTTCTGCCCTGGTCAATCACTGGAGAGGATCTCCACCTCATGCAGGTCCAGCGAAAAAGACGCAGTTCCTGAGCCCTGCTTAAGCGAAGCGCTGGTCGGCCATGTTGAAAGGTCGAAACATTAAATGATCACGAATACCATACCAACGGGTCTTAGCACCTTTAGCCTCGGACATGACAAATGCCGTTCGGTCCAAGTTGAAGAGCAGTTCCGGCTCAGAAAGACCTGAGACCAGGCAATCAAAAATCAGAAAAAAGGAAGGAAGGAGCCCCGTTCGTAGCGTCCTTGCTCCTAGTAGTAAGGCCAGGAGCCCCTAGTAGCGGCAGCGTCTTCCCTTCGCCCCTCCCGGCCTGGAATCTCAAGCTTCAAGTTCTGGTCATCCAGCATCTTCCATTTGCCTTTGCCTCGCTTCGAGACCACTAGGCCCCCGTGAGGCAGGAAGCGAAACACGCCCACGGGCGTTGGAAAGGTCAGCGGCAACTCGTACAGAAAGAAGCGTCGATCCACAAACACCGGCGCCAAGTCTCGCGGAACGCCGTCTGGCACGCCTTTGCGGCAGAGCATGCCTTCCGACTTCGTGGTCCACACCGTTTTCTCCTCGCTGTGGATGCCCTCGAGTCCATTCCAACTGATGAGTTTGGTCGCGCTTCCATTCCAACCGGTGCCGATGCCTTGGCAATCCACCAAAGCACCGGTGGATTGAAACTCTTCGATCGCACGTTGCACCCCAACTTCACTGTTAAAGTCATCAAATACAAGGTGGGTCAGTGGCTGCAAATGCCGCAGAGAGTTCAAGGTATCAGCATGTACATAGTCGTATGTGTGATCTGCATCAATCACAACAACATCAACGTGGTTGTTCCTGAAGGAAGCCCACGAATCGGACAGGGAATCGGCGGACAAAAAAACGATATTGGAATGATGTTTGGTATGAGCAGCAGCCACCTGCAAAAATTCCTCTTTGATGTCCACTGAGAAAACTCTGCGAAATATAGCAGCTAACACAGAGGTGGTGTGACCATGGTACACCCCCAATTCCAGCACCGTCCAATTGGCAGCAATTGGACAGAAATATCTTGCCAAATGGCGCTTGTAAAGATGACTCGTGGTAACCCTCATGTTTTTCCTGTCTGGCGCTCTCTGTATTTCAAGCTCTGTCTTTTCCAAACAAGTGGCAGGACTTGTAGTTTGGCCAAGCGCATCGTGCCACGAGAACAAGGGCACAAGACTTAAACAAAGTGCGCAAGGCAGACAGTTCGATCGCATGTTGGGTCGATTTAACCCAGCTCAGTCACAGTCACCGCGCCAAAAAAATATCTTGGCCATGCAGAATCGCTGTGGCCATGCACGCCTACCTTTCTCTGCAGCCGTGGTTTCATGCAATTACAACAACTCGTCATGCAAAATTCCAAGTGCAAAAACGAAAACGCACGCAAGACTGACCGTGCTCAAAAACTACCGTCAGTTCATGGTGAGTTGCAATTTAGGCGTTCTTCCTTGGAAACACGCTTTGACAGGCACTGAACATTGTGTCAGTTTGTTTTCAGTGAAAGCCACCACCAGCATACATTGATTTCCAAAAGCCACCAACAACATACATTGATTACAAACATTGATAAAGCACTCATTCTGACACTTTTTGGGGAGATGTCTTAAACATTCTTAAACCTAGCCGGGATTCACAAGTTTTCACTGCAAAAATAAAGCATCCGGAGTCGAACTATGTTGTTTTTCGCACACACGCGAATGGAAAACTACATGATCGAAGAACGACAGCCTGAACATGTTGCAGGTCATGTTTTTCTATTTCGGGCGCGGAAAAAAGAAACTGTGGATTATGTTGCACATGAACAACAACACGGTCGAAGATTCCAAGACCAACTTCCCCACTTTGCCCCCACAGGTTCATCGCGCATAGGTATCGATTTGATCGATCAGCTCAAGAACAACTGCTAGGGATGAATCATCTGCGCTGGGGACATGGACGTGGCAAAAATGAACAAGAACCGTGCACAATTGCAGGCAACTGCCAGCACACCTCAAACACCAGAACAAAGCACGCCGCGCAAAGGAAAACAAGAAAACCTTGGATCCTGGAGAGGCTTCCGAACTCAGTTCATGGTGTGGGCCACCTCAAGAGACCACAAACAAAGGATCCAAAGGAATTCGACACAGTTTCTGCCTCAAAATTGATTGGCTGGCTCTTTCAGTTTGCCATGCTTGCATGGTGTCTTCCCGGGCCTTAGTTTCACTTTCTCTTTTGTTTCACCTGTCTCTTGCGCCTTCTTCCACATTTTTCTGCGAAATGAGAGGCTGGACCTCACTCCGCGCGCCCTGAGGAAAAAAGACATGCTTGCACTGCGTCTTCAAGGACTCTTTTCCAAAAACAAACTCTGGAACCATGTTCTTTTCCAGCCAGTGCCGCCACCTCGCATCGCTGAGCAAACCCAGTGGACAAGCAAAACGAGAAAGTAAAACCATCCCCAGCACAGCAATGCGATTTCATCTTGGCATGACATGAATGGTGCATTTTCTTCTTTAGTGCGCAAGGTCGGAACCTCACCTCGCGCAAGGTCGGTGAAAAGTGACAGGCGGACTTGTAAAGAGACACAGCATGACACCGTCTGAACATCATGTCATGTCAGATGACATCATGTCATGCCAGGGACCAGCACTACCAACATCTGCACCAGCAGTTCACCTTTCACCTCCGACGTTTGCCACCGACCTTGCAACGCGCACCCAAAAAAAATAACGTCTGCAAAAGCAGCACGCCCAGAAATGCGGATCCAGCAAGCAATAGCCGCATCCGCACTCCAATGGCACCAAAACCCGCCCAGCACGCACTTTCTTTCTTGTGGGCGTGTGGAAAACTTAAAAACTCTGGAAGATCATTCCCCTCTTTGTTTTTTCTCTGAACTATTGTTTTTCAAAAATCATCCCTTGGACGTTACATCAGATGAATCTTGTTTTCTAATGGTACCCACCATCTGTTTGACATTTTTCTCTTTGCAAAATTTTAGTACTTGTTGAACCAAAATCCACTTTTCACACACGTACTCTCTTGTGTTGTTTCATCTTAATTCAGGATTGATTCCTGGTTTCTTGTCCAGATATTTTTTGAGAGAACTCTGCTCGTTTTTTGAAGCTCTATCAAAAAACGTAGGTAGCAAACCTTACGGTAAACTGCATTTCCCTTGGATCTTTAAGCTCATAGCAGGCTCTCTAAATGAGTGCGGTACACTCCAAAGCTCGTTCTCACGACACTTCTCAAGTCAACAACCACTCAAGCTTGCGCAGTGCACTCCTCGCGCCCTTTTTGCACACTGACACGCTTGAGCCAAAAGCAACAATCGTTCAAAGACCGTCCATTTGCACAACACACACACAACTCCATTTGCACAACACACAAACAACTCTTTGCAAAAAACTTATTAACGATCGAAAACGCCAAAGAACTCTTTCAAAACTTCAAGAAACAAACTGCAGTGTCAAAGTCTGGTTCTCTCCCATTCAGGACACAAACCAAACAACACAAAACAACAAAACCAACAAGTAGTACGAGCAAAACGGCCATCCAACAGATGGATTTTTCAGTTTTTTTTGGACATTTCGTTAGTCTTCTCATTCTTCTTCAGTGAGAACAAACGTTGCGAACACAAATTTTTCGACATTGGTGCAACCCTGAGCGACCAGTAGATTCTTGAGTCTCCTGTGCACAGAATCTTAGGTGGAGACAACGCAGCATCGTCAAATTTTTTCAGAGGTCAAGGAGTGGTCTTTGTTGAGTTGTATTGTGGTCGAGATTAATGTCAAAGCAAGCATGGTGGAGACGGTGTGCATTGCACATTGGATGTTATGACCGTCCAGAGGAAGAGATTCTTCACGCATAAATTGTTTCAATGCTTGTTTCCATCGATCTGAGTGTGGCATTGAGTTGGTCCATGTCATGTCTTTGCCATGTGCGCAGAGGCATGTCGAGGTCTTTGAGGAGGTTGCCAACTCTGTCGATTGCCTTTTGGAAGAAAGCTTAGAAGGTATCCGTGGACAGGTCCAAGCGCCTTGAGCTTCTAGCATCTGAGCAATGTTGTCAATAACCAGTTCGAAAGAGGTTCTAGGTTCTTGTCAAGCAGGAAGCCACCACAACTCGGAGCTGGTAACATCTGCGAAACGCGCCATGCTGCAGGCAGACGACCGTGTTCGGCAAGTGGACCACCTGCAATCGCTGACAGCTCCTCCGCAACGCAGCACAGTTCATGACTTTTACTCTAATGGTGTGGAGTGTGGTGGCAGATTGCACGCGAGAAGGAGCCAGGGGGTGCAAGTGACACCTCCCTTGCGGGAGAGAACTCAACCCTTCGTCAGCAATCCGGTCGTTGCAATGCCTTCTACTGCCACACTCACGATTAGCTTCTGCACTTTGGATGCGCAATCAGTTGTGTGGGTTGTGCCACGAAGAGGGAATTTTCCACGGCTTGCCATGCCTTGCAACTTCTGACTCCTTGGCCGGAGTCTTTGTCGCTGCTGACCTTTTCTTGGCACTTTGCAGACAGTCGAAATACTTCTAGTGCCAAGCACCAAAGTGGCTAGGGCGATTTCACCCCTGCCAACAGCAACAGGTCACATTTGACTGGCCTCCACAAGCTTTCGAAGTCAGTGAGCTTAAGGCGAGTAAACATACTGACAGATCTGTGAGAAACTTCGAATCTCTTCCACAATTAGCTCAACTTCAACAATGCTAAGAAGAGCCTGACTCGGGCGGTTGGGCGATCTGAGGTACAAGGAAGTCATCTTTTTGGCCCGGATAGCCTAGATAGCTGTAGGGTGGTGCCTGCCTGCTCGTAACACCCACTTTTTGGACGACAGAATTTTACTTGGCCCTTCCGCACAATCTTTAAGTTTGCCAGATACGCCAGGCTCATCCCTCTGCCCTTTTTTGTCTTGATAAGATGTCTTAGCAAAATCTTGGCATGCAAGTGTTGAGCAAAGCAGTGGGCTTGAAGCCCTTTGCGTCAAGCTCCTCTATGCCAAGGCGCCTTGGGGCCATTCATTCGCCACCAGTGGGCTCCAAGCCCTTTGCGTCAAGATTCCTGATATCAAGGCCCTTAAGGCCATTCATCCGCCACCAGTGGGTCACAGCCGCCTCAGCTCTACAGGGATAGCCACATTAACACTAACGCAGGGCTTTACAGTCATAGGAGCGCATGCTTGTGACAATTGTCACCTGCTCAGGAACGTTGACCTTTCTAACACACAAATAGAAGAAATACAAGAATTTACCTTTGCTGCATGAGGCCTCAAAGAAGTTCGTCTTCCAAGGACACTCCATACGATTCGAGTCAAGGCCTTCATGAACTGTGCGGCCCTACCAGAAGTTGCTTTACCACCCTCACTCAAATATATGGCGAGTAGAGCTTTCTTGGACTGCCCTAACGTCAAGGTCTCTTGCGTCAAGGCCCGTGAGGCCATTCGTTCGATGCGGCCTTTCTTTCGCCAGTGGGCTCAAAGCCCTTTGCGTCAAGGCCCTTGAGGCCATTCATTCGCCACCAGGGCTCCAAAGCCCTTCACGTCAAGCACCCTCGAGACCGGTCATTTGTCTCCTTCATGCTCTTATGCTCATTCTGACTGCGAGCAGTGCGCAAAGGTTGAGCCCAAAATTTCAATGACGTCCGTTTGGGACAAATCAACAGTTTGCAGTTGCTGGCAGCTCGTACAGGCGGCCACTCCTATCCTGTGAAAATCTGACGATAGACAGAGTGCGACGATGCCCGCTTCGCATCTCACTCATCTCCCCGGCAAAAAGACTCCGTATCTTCTTGCCGAACAACACACTGCATGAGAGTCCTGATACACAAGTTACTCCAGTCGAAGACTTAGAGTGGACTCAAGACTGGAGCCCCCTTGTCAGACTTGAAAGGGGTATGTTAAGGGAAGTCCCCTTACAGCCATTCATGAGACCAATAGCGGTTTTAAGTGACCTTGCTTTACGTTATAGCTGGTCTAGCTATCCGGCAGCGCTATTGTGGCGCATCTCTCATTGGCACACCAAAGAAGGTCTCGCAATGACAGCCAATCTCTCCTCTGACAATGGGATACCTAATTTCCATTGGAATTCGATCATACCACCAATATATCAAACGGCATGGAGGCATCTGCTTAAGTGCTTTGCTATTGGAGCTCCCAATTCTGAGAAAGATTTTGCTCTCCGTGATGTCCTTCCGCTTTTTCACAATAGCAGCATCCAGCTGCCCTTCCGGCTTCTCACG